GTATTAACACACTCAACTCAATCATTTATAAGCGTATGTATGTCACAGCTTATGTACATACGGATGTATGCATACATACGTACAGATTTATATGTGTGCAGCAACTGCTTTTATTTATTTTGTATTTTTTTTTATTGCCGCTGTGCATTTATCAATTTTGTTTTATACACACACACACACACTTGCACTCGCAGAAAGTGTGAGTGCCCATTAAGCGATTGCCGCAATTGGTGCGTGATAACGTCACACACACACACGCACACAAAATGAAACGACGTAGTGAACCGAACCAATAAACAAATTGAACGGGAATTCGAGTTCGAAACGTGCGTCCCAATTGGAATGCCTACGCCTGCGTCCGACAACCGACGACGACTGACTGACTGCGACGTCGCGCTAAAAAGCTGATAGAGTCGGAGCCCTGTTATTGTTATTGTTATTGTTGTTGCTGTAGATGTAGCTGTTGATGTTGCTGCTGCTGCTGCTGTTGTTGCTTTTGTACGTACTATTTGTTGTTTTTGTGTGCTGCGGGCGCAAAGAAAACAAAGCGGAGGCAGCTAAAACACAAATGCAAACAAACAACGCAGTCGCAGCCGTCGTGGGCAGCAGAAGCAGCAGCAGCAGCAGCAGCGCGGCACGAGTCGGCAGCAGCTACGAAACCGAAGCTAAACAGAACGAGTGAAGCGGCGAATGCTAAAACAAAAACACCAAAGCGAAAGAGCACACAACAAAAGCGCCATCAAATGAACCAGAGCGTGCGTTGGCTAGAGAACTCGCATGAACTAGTTCTTTGGCTTACACCTTTAACAACAAAATATCATGAACTTTCGTTTTTCTTCCGATTCAGATTTTTTGATATACTTTTTTATTTACAAAATATTAAAATTAAATTGCAATTTAAAATATGTAACAGTTGCTTGAAGCGATTTTCAATTTTCGCATTGTGCCCAGCCCTGAAAATTTGGACATTCGGAAAAACAATTTGTACACGCGCTGCCCATTAACGTCAGCAAAACAAAAGGGCAGGCAAGCCAAACAAACATCCAGAACAAGAAAGGCAAAAACAACAACAGAGAAGCAAACAAGCGACCGAGACAAAGATGCAGCGCATGGGCAAGGGGTTGCGTTTCAAGGGGTCGCCACCTTTAACAGTAGGCGGCAACCATGTAAACACGACGAAGGCGAAGACGACGACGACGACGACGGAGTCCATGACGATAACGTAACGAGCGAGGGGGGAGGGAAGGGAAATGTGGAACGTTGGCACTTGGAGGTCGAGGCTAGGCTCATGATGGCATCAGGACACAATTGTTACTCTGCTTGTTACTCTGCCTGTGTGTGTGTGTGTGTGTGTGTGTGTGTGTGTGTGTGTGTGTGTGTGTGTGTGTGTGTGTGTGTGTGTTTGTGTGTATTTGTTTGTTGATGCGTAGCCAGTCTGCAGTTGCATTGGCGCCGGCAACTGAAGCAGCACAACATCAACAACAACAACATCAACAACAACAACATCAACAACAACAATGTAAGCAGGGTAAACGGGCCAAACAACAACAAATACATATGTATGCACAATTGTACAAATAAAAATACATATAAACAGGCAAACAAACAAACATGCATAAATAAATTGCATTGTGCATTTATTTATTTATTTAGTCAATGGCAACGCCAACGAAACGGAATCCTGCCAACGGAATCTGCCCAATGCTATGGCAACCGAAGCACTGAGCATGCTGAGCAGGCACGAGGGGGGAAGCGGAGTACTCAGACGCACTCAGGCCCTGCCAGAGTAGCAGGCGGATAAGAGTACGAGTTCTTTTACCTGTGCAACGAGCGGCAGACAGCGCCATCCCATTGTGGTCCACGGCAGACAGGTGTAGATAATGCAAAATTGAATTTAATACGGAGCTCTTTCATCTTAAATGTCGTTTGGCATTTCACAAGTGAGTTTGTTTAGGAAAAAGGAAATTTTTGCAAATGAAAAGTTCGTCATTTCAAAAAAAATATGGTTTGAGTAAGCGCAATAATTTGTTGGAATATATAACAGAAGAATCTTCCAAGTACTTTGCATTAATAATTCTTGCTAAAATTAAAAAACTTTAAGAAAAACTTGTACTATTTAGAAAACAAAATTCGGATGTTTAGAACAGAATTTAATATTTTGTAAATGCTTTTCTCCTTGATAGAAAAAAACCTTTTTATATAAACAATTTTTATTACTTTTTTTCTCAAAATAAGGGTGGATCGCCTTTTTCAGATGTGAATTTCTTAATTTAAGTGCCATATTTCCGGCTGATTTTGTTTTATTTTCAATTGTATCTTCTTGCAATTATTTCAGTCTTCATTTATTGAAAACAAATTTGCTCAGTTTTAAACCAAATCGATTAATCTACCAGTAAAAGGGATTAATTGAATCAAGAACAAACGAAATGTAGCCTGAACCAAAGCGCAGATTTTCAAAATAATTTTGTTTGCTTTAGACTTGCGCTCACGATAGTTGATCGGCAAAACTATGTAAACATAATTAATTCAATTTTTACAAATTATGGTCTTGAAAAATGTAAACAGAAGAGCGAGGCAAATTTGGGTTCGCCGAAGATTAATTACTCTGGCAAAATATCTGACTTTGATAAAAGTATCTTGAGAAACAATATCGTAATGAGATTAATGATATAGTAGATCGAACCAAATAAAATTAGCTTTTTTAGTGTACAAAATGTCAAGTTTTCTTAAAAGATCTTGAAAAGAAAATCGTTTTTTCTAACAAAAACATAATATTTGCAGAACTTTTGAGCGGCCAGTCATCTGTAAAGGCGACGTGTCGTATGAGTAATATTTAAATTGTCCCATTTGGCACTGCTGCAGCATTCCCCTGCCCAAAAGGCGGGCAGGTTAACATTTATAACTGCAAATATATGCATGAAGAATAAACACAGCGCAGAAGACCGAAGATAAGATGTGTAAATTGTTTAATGAACAAACAGGCATACGGAACAAAAACGATAACAAAAGCTAAGCAAACAAATAACGCACGGAATCCGACTCCGACTGGAATAGAAAATGGGAGCAGGCGGCAGGAAGGGAGCCAAAGGAAATGTTAGTTCGGAGCAGAACAAGCGTGAAATAATCACATTAACTAACACACAACCTAAAAGCAGAAGGCGACGCTCGACAGTCAACACTTGCCCGGACGACAACAAACAAGCCCACCCCGGCAGCCCAGAAGGAAGGACAGACTTCTGGCCAGAGCCAAGTGCCAGTGTCTCGGCAGGAGGCGGATCTGAAGGCAATGCCAACTGTGACACTTCAGACGATTCCAGTCAAGTGCAAGGAGCAGGCAGCTGGGAGCTGGTCACAAACTGCGCCAGCTCAAATGGAAATTCAATGGTAAAAAGCCAGCAAAATCAAATATAGCAAATTACGTATTCGCATTTTCTAAAAGCATTTGAACTTTGATCTTCATTTTTGTTAAATGAGTGTCAACAAAATCCAACAGAAAGAAGATACTTTTTCCTAAGTTAACGCGAGCTCTGAGCTTGGCTAAGCATATTTATTGTCCAAGTTGCCTAACTTAATAACACAAACAAAGGGGAGAAGACACGTGCATGCCAAGCAAATATTTGCTTATTTCAGTTGGCCTTGCCAGGGCTATTATTGGGTGAAAAGAAATGTCTGAAATTTGAAGAAAAAAACATGGCCCGGGCAACGCTGGATCATAATGGCTAATAGTATATGTACAGTTGTGGTAAAAAAATATAACGACCTTCAGTAGCAATGTTTTCAAAGCGTCTAATTACACTTGTTAAATTTTAGAACTAACGAACGCATTAAAAACGTGCATAGAGGGTATACTGGTTTTGTGCAAGCGTATGTAACAGGCAGAAGAATACTTCGCCAAGTTTCAGCCTATTTAAACGTTTTTTAAGCCTATCTATGTTAGACAATATAGAGTCGTGGAGCTCGAGATAGGACGGGTAGATTTCAATTTTTCACGCGCGGAAAATGGGTGGAAAGGTCGTACCACAAAAGCAAAACGTGTACCAGATGCATTTTAACTTTTCACGAGTGGAATATAAGTGAAAAATGTTTGTCTAAAATGTGAAACAGTTCCGCTCTTATATTAAACATACTACTTATTAATATGCTTCCAAAAGTTTTTGAAAAAAGGTCTGGAAATTGTAGTTCCTGTTTTGCATAAACGGATTGTCAATCTTGATTCTAACTTTGGTACTTTGCTGTTTTCATTTCTTTCAATCGAGATGATTGACCTTTATGTCAACTTTTCTTAAAAGCGAGCTGCGAAAAGCAGGTTCAATGAGCCCATGACTCATCGCATCGTTACATTCATACATAATATGTGTATGTTATATAAGTGTATATATGTAGTGAATTCTACACACGTATTTATTCGGCTTAGGCGCGTTCGCCTCGGAGGCCTTTTGGAGCCCATTATGACGACGATGCCTGTTGATGGGCTCTGGCGCCTCGAGTCTCAACTGTTTTGATGACCTAATTGTGTCTGCGAAACCACCCTGTTGCTTTAACGAACACGCACAGATATGTTCGCATATATATAAATACATACACACATATATATATATATATATATATATATATATATATATATAGATGAATACATATGTATAAATAGGGCGTTATATGTGCCGGTTATGCGAATGTATTGTAAAGAAAGTTCTTATGAAAGTGAGTACAACTTGACCTTTAACCGTTCGAATGCTGTTTGTAAACAACTTCATTTAGTTATCAAACACTGAATCGACTTACAATCAGCAATAATAATATGTAATATATACATATTATGTAGCCAGCTGTTAGGCGCGATTTTATCTAATCATTCAGTCATAGCAGGGCATTCAAAAGTGGAAACATTTTAGTTTCTGTTCGGCGTTTGAGCGCGTTGGAAGTGCCGCGGAGCATAAAGAATTTTTTGCATAAACAAATATATATATATATATACATTTATATATATATATATATACAGACGCATACGGGTATATATATAGAAATGGATCTACGGCTGAGTGTATCCGACAAATTCAAGTTGGCCGCAAAGTAAGTGGGGAGTGGGACGTGTCTAAAAGTTTTGTGGCAATCAGTATTCAGACAATAGATGAGTATCTGCCCATGGAAGTGCTTAGTCGTTTTGGCGCAGCTCAATTATTATTGGAGTATTCGAATATAGATAAGATATCGTATTCGGTAATCCAGCTTTAACACTCCACCGTAGAGCTCATTACATATGGCGAATCTAATGACAACGCACTGAATCCATAAACATCTTTTATTTGCATTTCAAATAGGGAATGCAATAAAAGAGATTTGTCAAATTGTAATTAACTGCCATCGTTGCCCGTGCCAAGTGTATTTGGTTTATTCACGTTTCTTGCACATGGTAAAAATAAAGTGTAGATTTTCAAAAATAAATCTGAGGCTGCGTGCAAATGTGTCTAAAAGGCAAAAGGAAATATATATACCCGATTACATTACTACATACATTATGTAGTCTTGAACAGGACAATCAACTCACTCGGGTTGGCCACATTCGCCTGCTCAATCGTCTCTGTTAAAACTAAAGATTGCAAATCCAATTGTATACCATAGGAAATAGAAGGAGTTCATAATTTTTCTGTTCAATATCGCCTCTTTCAACAGTATCGATAAATATCGATTTTCAGCCATGGCATAACTTTAAAGTTATAAGAGCTAGACATAAATATGAATATTACTATCTGGATACCAAAACCAGTTTCTCTATAAATAAAATTGCAAAAATTACAAAATGTTTGTAACGGCAGGTTGAAACTGGGTTTAGGGTATTTCTTAGTTGTTCAGGGTATCTCCTAGTTCCAGATACAGCACTTTTAATACTTGTAATATTATATCGCACATTTAGCAAGACATATTTTACAGAACAGGGATATCGAACAGAGCACTCACGCAATAAGGGCATGTTTCCTAGTATTCAATAGTTGTAGTAGCAAAGTTTCTCCAGAATATGAATTGCAGTATTTCTATAGTTCCCCGTAATTTACTTTGGTTATTTTATGAAGGTTGTAACGAGTAACGAGGAGCACATAAAAACCGCATTTAACGGCGTAATTATTCGGTTGTGGTCACAGTATTTCCCATAATTTTTACCTATTAATATTGGATGATTAATGTTTTGGTATATATATAAATATAGCTATATATTAAAGCACATCCACATGATAATAGCTCAAAAATTGTATGTCAAATCAGGGAACATTCCACGAATGGGATAAATAGGTGGAAGCAAGTGTCTTTTTACAACACTAAAATATATCTCATATGGAACCCACAATATTGTGACATTCTTAATCTAAATTCTTTTAGACAATCAAATTCAAATATCTATATCTTTCTTCTAGGGCCATTGGGCATAAGGTTGTGCAGTACCGACTGAGCACCGGCCGTACCAAAGTGCTGGAAACGAAATGTGGCAAAGTGAAGGGCATGGAGCGCAAGACCTTCTATGATGGGGAGTCCTACTATTCCTTTGAGGGCATACCCTTTGGTCAGCCACCGGTGGGCGAGCTACGTTTCCGGGCGCCACAGCCGGCTAAGCCCTGGCAGGGGGTAAGGGACTGCACCTACGCTCGAGCGCAGCCCATGCAGAAGAACGTAATAACGAATAAGGTCGAGGGATCTGAGGACTGTTTGTTCCTGAACGTGTACGTGAAGCGTCTGGAGTCACCACGTCCGCTGCCAGTTATGGTCTGGATCCATGGTGGCGGCTTTCAAATAGGCGGTGCCGTGCGGGACATCTACGGGCCGGACTACTTCATGAAGCACGACGTACTGCTGGTCACCTTTAATTATCGCGTGGGCGCGCTTGGCTTCCTGAGCCTTAAAGAACGCGAACTGCAGATACCCGGCAATGCAGGCCTCAAGGATCAGGTACTGGCACTGCGCTGGGTTCGCGAACACATAGCCAGCTTCAATGGGGATGCGGACAACATCACGCTGATGGGCGAGAGTGCTGGCGGCGTGTCGGTACACATCCTTATGCACACGGAACAGACGCGGGGCCTCTTTCATCGCGCCATTGTGCAGTCGGCGTCCGCGCTGTGCGAATGGGCCACCCAGCCGGATAGCGGCTGGGCCCAGCGGCTGGCCAGTCGCCTTGGCTACAAGGGCGACGCGGACAATGAGAAGCAGCTGATGAAGTTTCTTAGAGCAGCATCTGGTAGCCAGCTGGCGCAGTACTGCAATGCGATTGTCACCCAGGAGGAGGAGCGAAATTACGAGATAATTGCCTTCGGGCCAGTCGTGGAGACATATGTGGGCGAGGACTGCGTGGTGCCGCGGCCGCATCTCGAGCAACTGGCCAGCGCGTGGGGCAACGAGCTGCCGCTTATCATTGGCGGCACTTCCTTCGAGGGCCTGTTCAGCTACCAGACAACATTGCAGGATCCGGAGCACATGCTCAGTGCCTTCGAGGCTCTCATACCGCGAACCGTGCGCGAGGCCGTCGACGCCAACGAGCTGGCCGAGCAGCTGCGTCGCCTCAAGCTGGCCTACTTCGATGATGCGGACCGTGCCAAAATGGAGCTGTTCGAGTGCTTGCGCCTGCTGAGCGTGAAGAATTTCTGGCATGGCATTCATCGTGCGCTGCTCGCCCGGGCTGCCTATGCGCCAGCCACGCCCACCTACTTGTATCGCTTCGACATGGACTCGCCGCACTACAATCATTACCGCACCCTGAAGTGCGGTCGACATGTGCGGGGCGTGTGCCACGCAGATGACCTCGCCTACATGTTCCACACGCTGCTGTCCACCAAACTGGACAGAGCCTCGCCCGAGTACCGCACCATAGAGCGACTCATCGGCATGTGGACCTCGTTCGCCACGACTGGCAACCCCAACTGCCCGCAAATAGAGCCAACCCAGTGGGAGCCCCTGCGACCGGGCGGATCTGAGCTCTGCCTCAATATCAGTGAACAGCTGGAGTTTATGCCGCTGCCGGAGAGCAAGGAGTTCGTGGTATGGGACAGCTTCTATACGAGAGAGAGTTTATACTAACGAAGCTAATGAAGCTGATCGAACTCTCAACTAGTTCACTTTAAGCTTGCTTTATGTCCTTGTTGTAAAGTCTGTACTATTTATTAATCTCGTCAGGATGAGCAAGATGATTGCGTGTCGTCTCAACGTACAAAAAAAAATGACCTAAAAGTATTTCTGCAATCTGTAGGTAAAATATTCCTATAAGTATTATTCTACCATCTTTTCTCTTACTCATTTTGTGCCTTGCGCTTTAATTTGTTGAGCTTTTGCTTATTTATGTGCTATAATCTCTATAATTAATCTTTTTTTATCATAAACAATATTGTGTTATGCCATGTCAAATGTAATTAGTGATTAAGGCTTTGCTTTACAAATCTCTCACATAAACTAAAAATAATGAAATATATTTATAAAATATTTGCTGCTTAATTTATACAAATATTCCGGTTTAATATCTGCATTCGATTGTTTTACCAAAGAAGACATGGCTTTTTTTCCTATTAAATTGCCAGTGAAGCTGGTACTACATATCGTGGGATTAGCTAAACACTCTTTGAAAAGTTAAAAATATATAAAAAAAAATATTCCTTTTGTAATATTAGTAATATGCAAGATACATTTGATTTCGAATGTATTCAGAATTGACCTTTCGCTTGAAACGAAATAACTCAAGAATTTAATGTTTGAACAAGAGAGAGCACAATTTTCTCGCAGTGCCGGCTGGCTCTGAAATACATCAAATATGTTTACCATTTAGAACAAAAACAAAACATCTGTTAAACCTGTTGGCATAGACACAGATAGACAGATAAACATTGAAACGGACAAAGATGCGATACAACTTTCGGATATAATATATAAAAAGATGTATTTATTTTTACATGTTCACATTTATTCACATGTTTCAACTTATCTCCGATTATTGACACATCTTCTACACACACCTCGCGGTATAATTAAGTATACGCCAATTAAGCACATATTTCCCAAATGAATGTACAGGGTATCTCATAGCTAACTGATTGTCTTATTTTCTAGCTCATTTGTTTAACCAGTTCAAACCGCTTCTTCGCTGCGGCTCTTTGGCAAACTGACAAAAATTCCTGAACGCGGGTCATTGTTGTCATTCTCATAATTCGCTATTATTTTGACTATTCAGAATAGTTTCAAATAAATGCAATTGGCTTGACAAATTACTTACCAAGAGCACTGCAAGCTAATTAAATGGAAACCTAAATGAAAATTTTTTGGTGAAATATGCAAGGAATGCGAGCAAAAGAATTGAGAGCATTTTCAGGCTTGTGTTTAATCTCATTTGAATCAATCGAGACATAAATACAAAATAGACGAGCCAACATAAACATCGGTCGAGAACAAAATGGCCATGATATTTCCATGGCATTTATAAACACAAGCAAACATAAAATTGTACAGCAATTGCTATTTTTGTTGTTGAATACTAGAAGAAATTATCCGGCATTTCCCGGGTTTGATAACTAGTGAGTAATTCACGCCAACAAGTGAAAGCCTCTAGTTTAATTTAATCAGAATTCATTCTTTGTGAGATCTGAGAAATTTGCTCTTCCACTTTTCATAATATTCTTTGATATAAAATAGGCAGTAAATTAACCAAAACTTCAATTAACATGGGAAAAAAGTCAGAGCAAGTCGCGAAAGTCCAATAAAAACAAATAAAAATAATTATTACTTTTGCTGTAATAAACGTAATTTGTGAAAACAACAAATGTAAATCCTGTTGTAAATGCAGATATTTTAAATATCTTTATTTGAATGCGCTTGTTAGACTAAAGGGTATCTTGTAGTCGAGCTAACCATACATTCATTTAATTTTGGCCTGTTATTTTATTTATTCACAATTGAATTAGGCGAGAAAAACATCGAAAGAAAAAACCTTGACGCTGAATCGAAATCGATTTAAATTCGTTTAAATTGGATTCGGTTTTTGCTCGGAACTCGGAACTCTTTAAAGATGAGCATAAATAATTAAATGCTTTTTCGCACTTTTCGCTTGCCAGCTGAATGGAAATTTGCGTACGTCATGCGATTGATGAGACACCCCCCCCCCCCCCCTACACGGTCATCCCATAAACAGACAGGGGGAGGGGCTGGCTGTCTGACTGGCGGGTCGGTTTGTTTGGCTTGGCGCCAAAATTTGCGTTTGAATTGCGCTGCTTTACTGGGTTAAATTTAATTAATTTGTCTCGTTGCCAGGCCCGTCGTTGATTTTCAATGTTTGATTATTTATTCATTTTGCATTTCTCTGAATAGGCCGGCGTTGCGGCGCGCCTCACCCCGCTCCGCCCCGCCGCAGCACCCACTTCACACTCTCCGCAGCAGTCGCCGCACTGCAGCATTTGCAATTTTATTGCATTTATTTATTTATTATTTCATGCGCATTTTTTTTTTTTTGTGTTTTGTGTTTGTTTTATTCGCGCATTTGTGTGTGTGTGTGTGCGTCTCTGAAATTTACACAATTCCAATTAATGGCATTTAATTATTTATCCGGCATTTTGCACATTGTATTCGCCCAGTTCCAGCGGCAGATTTGAATTTTACATTTTTATGGCATGTTGCAAAAATTTTGCGCTTTGAATATAAATTACAAATGAAATGCCAATAGATTGAGGGAAAGGCAACAGAGAGGTCTGATAAGAATACACGTTTTAACTGGAATTTGTTCTAGTCAGGCGAGAGGGAAAAACCTCTGAGATTAGATTCAAACCCCGCTTTGAATCTAAATCTCAGAGGCTTATCCCCAAATTTTGAAAAAACCAAAAAAGAGGCATTTAATTTAGCCTGATTTAATGTACATTAATTCGTTTAGGTTTTCTTTAAAGCTGCGTAAAAAAATATATAACTTTCATTTATGTAATCTAGATGCAAATTAATGTCTAAATCTGAATATCAATGTCTAGCGGAAGTTTCCCTTGCTTTGCTTGAAACAAGTTATTTGCAACAATTGTTAAATATCTGTTTTAGACTTTTAGAACAGAACTCCATGCTTATGTTGGATAGATATTTTTAGATATCTTTAAATTCGATCGAGTTTAAAGTTGGAGTTAAAGTATTCCTCAAATTAGAGTTTCGTGGTGCGCTCTTCAAAAATCGTATAAATAGTTGTTCATCTTTCAATAGAAGATAATAGTTTATACATATAATTAAATAATTTAAAAATTTAAATGATGTGCAGACGAAAATTAAATAAAAGCTTCTGTGAAAAAAGAAATAGAAACAGAAAATGTTTCATTCGATTTTTTTTTATAATTTTCATTATCTCAATAATTTAATTCTTCCCCATTGTTAAATTCTTTATATTCTTTTGTCATAAAATTTGTTCGTCAAATTTGCACACAAATTTAAATAAAGATTGTTAATTTGAATATGAATGATATTTAAGCTTTCGGCTTGGTGAATCATTATTAAAATGCTCGAGTAAGTTCTAAAAATATAACTAACAAAATCTAATTTGTAATTGCAGCGCTCTTCTTTTTTTATTTCATCGCGTCTGGATGTTTTTTTTGCCAAACCTTATCAACGAATGTGAGGAAAATACTGAGTCGAAGCACCAAAAATACAATTCACACACAGAAATAACAGCAAAATAAAGCGCACACACACAGACTGAAAAGAAGAAGGCAAATAAACGCGGAAAGCTATTAAAATTTAATCAGAAACACAAGCCGACCCTGCGGTCAAAATTCCCACCAGAGACGCAGTCATGTGGCGGCAATGATAATTCTCTCGGACTCTATCGCCGGGACGAGCTCTGTGGCCGACTCCAATGTCGACCCCACTGATTAATAGTCTGCGGATTGGCACAGCACCCGGGGTCAGTACGCGGCGCCTTCCCCAGCCATCCCCAGCCATGCCCAGCCGTCCGCAGCATCCCATCATCATCATCAGCACAGTTTACACTCATCCACATCCTCATATTCGCGGCGGCAGCAATTTGTTTATTTTGATTCGTGTGACGCGAAAACGTTTCTCGTACATTTTGTTGCCCAAATGTTTTTCTCTCTCTTTTTTTTCGCGTTTAGTCGCCAACGAGCTGAGCTACCCCACCTCGCCCCAGCCAGTGCGCCGACTGCACCGCCCAATCCACACAGATGTTCATCTACCCATTTAATATTTAATTCATATAAATTTTGTTGTCGTAATCTACTTAGCATTATTTATATGCAGTTGAATGATATTAAAACATTTACGAGTTGCTCATACATTTATATATGTGCGACTAGCAGATACCCAGTAAATTTGAACACATCATCCGAGTTTATATTGTGGGGATATTATAGAAAAGAGAAGCAGGAGGAGAAGTTTGACGATTTTTTTCACTAACATCGCGAGAAATGTTCGATTGGCAATGAAAATGCCCGTGCAGAAAGAAGTATATTCTTCATATATAAATCGCACATCAACAGTTGATAATTTCCAATGAGGCTTACCTGATGGGCGTTCCACTGTTGTATGAGATCCTCGTAGCAGGGCATGCAGGCCTGGATCATGCCACGGGGATCCTTTGGGCGAGAGCGGGCGGGGCGCGGATGCTGCTCGTTGAAGAGCGGAAAGTAAGCCACCGGCTGACCGAGCCTGGACTCCTTTGGCTTGACGGTGCTTAGTTCGACTAGGCTGCCGCGACGTTGCTCATCGCCGCACACGTAGCAGACTTCCGTGATGGAGTTCTTATCCGGCATGGACAGATCCAGAATGCCCACCTCGGTCGAGGAGGAAGAGCTGCCCGGCTGACTACGGGACGTGGGCGTGGTCACAGGAGTGGGCGTCGCTGTTGGCGTTACATTCACATTGGACGAATTGCGCAGATCAAGCACCGTGGCATTATCATCCTCCAGGCTGGGCGGCTGCGTAGCCAGCGGCATTGCCGTACCCATGCCACCCAGGCTGGGCAGGCCACTGTATGGATTCCCTTTATAGTGGGACTGAGGCTCACCCGAGACAGCGGCCACTTGCTGCAGCATGTGATAGGCGGCCGTTTGCTGCTGCAGCTGTTGGTACTGCGCGGGCTGGTACTGTGCCGGCGACTGGGGCGGTGGTGGCTGATAGTTGTGCTGACCCAGCTTAAACTTGTGCTGCGCAAAGTTGGAGCTGGGGCCAAGCGATGTGCGAGCAGGCGGCTCGCTGGGCGGACGCGACAACGGGGATGGCAGCTGCATATCCCGCGACTGCGGCTGGCTCAGGTATTTGTGGTTACTGTAGCCCTGACTGTGGCTAGTGGGCGTAGCGTTGCGAGGATAGTAGTCCGGCGAGGCGTTCCTTGAGGTACTATGGTGCTGCAGCTGCTGGGGCGAGGCAACCGATGGTGCGCCCACCGCGTAATGCCTGCTCAGGGCATATGGATCCAGTGAAGGCGCAGCGGCGGCGCTGTGCAGCTCAGCGAGTCCGTTCTGGCTGAGATGCTCGGCACTGAGGCCCAGCATTTGGGCCGCGTACTCGCTCTGGGTGGCCACGTCTGCTCCAATGTAGCCCTTGCCATCGACTCGCTTCATGTGGTAAATGCGCTGCAGCAGCGGCTTTTTCTGACGTTCGTACGCCTCCCACTGCTCGTGCAGTGAGCGAAAGCACAGCATGCAGGCCATCACGTACATCTGATTGGCTGTCACGGCCGGCACTCCCTGGGGCGGCTCATGCCGTTCCAGAAACGGAAAGTGTGCCTCGCTCGGCCGCTCCGGATTGGCGCGCACGCGCAACGCCTCGTAGCTGCCATGCCCGCCACACACAAAGCAAACGGACGCGGTCATGTGCTCCGGCGGAGCCGAGGCACGGCCCGTCGACTTGACAGGCCCTGTACTGTAGTATTGCTGCATATGATAGCCTCCAACCGGCGACGGCATCAGCTCCGAAGCGGCCACGTGCTGATTGTGCCCCTGCGGCAGTGATTGTGGTTGTGGTTGTGGTATTGCTGTTGGCTCCGATTGCAGTGGCGCGCTGCTGCCACGGAGTTCATTTTTAATGTAAGCTTTCGCCTTTTCCATAATATTCAGCTGGAATTAAAGAGATTTATAAATTTCGATTAGATGTTTATCAAAATTCTAATAAAATCCATTTTTGTATACCCAGAACCCATTGAAAATAGGTAAATGTGTTAATTTTATTTACTGTCGTGCTCTTTGGGCGGAGTAAGGGGCGATGTTTCGTGGTAAGTCTTGAGGGAGCATAGAATCGAAATCGACCTAAAAGAAAAGATGAATCTATGTCTCCAACAAACAACTTATGTAGGAAAACAACACTGAGCAAAGTCCTTCTTTTCAATAGCGATGGAAACTTAAGAATGCTGCTGGAGTACGATGGCAACAGAAGATTTGTGTCTCATTGTATATAACAATATAAAGATTGAAGCAGAGTATACGTTGCAATGGAATATTGCCAATTGTATAACTGACAAGATGGGGTCTTGTACCAATGGTTGTACCGATCAGCTCTAAAGGTGCGCCGGGCAATCTGTGCCACTCGCTCAATGACAACCATTGTCGATTTTGATCCTCAAACCAAACTGATGTGATAAGAGGCTAGCACCACTGTTAACAGCATCCCTTCGAGTGCATAGTATACTCTCCAATTCCCATACAATATGTCTTTGGGAGTGTAGGCCGACGCAAAGGGCATTTTGTTGCGGCACATCCTCACCTATCACTGGTTCTATTTTGACCATTTTATTGCAGGTGCAGTTCAGTCTTGTTAATGCTATTCCTTCTCCTAGCTCAGTGGAATTTCAGCTATGCTGTCGTTCCAGCCTGCCTGTATGCTCTACACGGATCGCTTGACTTTGTTGTTTTGTGTTTGTGTATGTGTATATGTATGTGCATATGTAAGTCCAAGCCGAGGTAACCAGGTTAGTCTGGCATTGAAATAGACTTCACTTTAGACTACAAAAAGTTGACTTGCATGAAGTTTCAATCTAAAAACATTATATCACTAGAATCTTTTACCACATACAGAAACAAACAAACAAAAACTTAAAACTAATAATACGAATATATTCAAAATAATTCATATTGTCCACGATGAAGCGCATACACGTTGAAAGCTCAGCTCCAAAGTACCAAAGTGGCAAGTGGTCCTGGGACAAGAAACATGAATCATTGCACTTTGAGCAACATTTCGATTTGGAGGACGCAAATGAACGCTACATTGATACAAATGGATACAAGTTTCTTCGTACGCTCAATCAAGAGGAAGAATTGATCTTTCGACAGGTGTTTGTCCGGCCCAATACCTCATACGACCCGGACACGGTGGTGATCAACGATGTTCGCAATTTGGTATTCTTCTTAATGCCAAAACAGTTTCTATCAATGAATTTTATAGAATTTATGCACAAGCCTTCAGTCCATAGACTGTTGCATGCCTTAATTATTTACTTTGAATATTTTTTGCGGTTAGTCGAATTTGTGCTGATCCGTCGGGATGAGATAGCTGGCGATATGGCCCAGATGCAAAGCGAGCAGACGAACGAAATGAAGCGAATATGGTCTTCCTACTTGAGTCAGTATCGCATGTTAACAGCTAGAAATTACTGCGCAATCTTACTGGGAGCAGGAGATATGAAAAAATATTACCATACGAAAGAGATCGTTAATATATCTTCTACGATCAAGGACCGATATTTTCATGAGCAGTTTTTGGCTGTCGCCACTCAGATCGTTTGGATATCGAGTCACAGAAGGGCTTATTACGTAATTGAAATGGAAATGAACCGACTTTTTCGATCTGACTATTTCATATTGAATCGAAAAGAATATCCGAGTTTTACACCCGCGGAAAAAAGTTTGCTCTATGGACGTAACAATAAGTTGGTCAACTATCGATACCAAAGTTCCCCGTTGGTTCAGGAGCTTAAAAATGTTGCCGACCAGGACATGCCTATCCTATGGATTGGTGAGCGCAAGTATCGTGGCTCGGATCCCCGCATTGCCGAGCTCGAGCTTGAGTATATGGTGCCCGGGCCACAGTTGCGAATGATCGATATAGCACACGGCATTTTGGGTCACCCAAGGCTGTTGTATAACACGCTCCTCTCGTTGGACTGGCCTTCGGTACGCTATCACAATTTTTCATCAGCGCACGACCCCTATTACATTATGCGCCAGCCGAATCTGCGCATACCCAACATTGATGAGGCGGAGGTGCGTAAAAGTTCTCGGAATCTGGAGCATTACTACAAGGTATTTCGCATCTATGAATCTGCCCGCCGCAATATCCTTCTTAATTGGTCAAATCGGGAAAAGATAAAAAACTACTATCTCAGTGGCGGAGTTTTACGCAATATTATTATGCGTTGCGAGAAGCAATTGGAAGACGATGAAGATAGACCTGAAGTATCTGAGATTGTTTCCGATTTCTTGGAAATGATGGCCAGGCTACGTAAAAAGAAAGTCCCAGTTATGGGAGACGCGACCACCGCGGAAGCGTCTCGTCCTTCTAACTCACAGTACGTGAAAATTGGCGCCGAATATTTTTTCATAGAGCCAGACGAACGAAAACGACGTATTGTTCCGATATAATTTTGCCTCCAATTTTACGATTTGGGGTCGAATTCGCTTCGATGTTTCCTATGAGACTGTACGAACTTTATAAACCTAGCCCTTACACAAAACTAAATTAAATTCTTACGGTGAATCTACAACATTTGTATTTTTAAAAAATGTATTTCCTATGAATGAGATTTCAAGATATTAAAAGGCCCAACATAGGAACTCAATGTGTACGTGTTTCTATAAATTTTGGTCCAATGGTAATTTTGCGGTTATTTTCTGTTTACTCGTCTTCAAAGATCCTTGTGAGAAATAATTTAAGACATGTTCAACACTTTGTTTTCGCGAATAGATAGAAAATACATTTTGAAGCGTTTTATAGGCGAAGTTTCTGGTTCTAATTCACAGCCAAGTATTTTTAAGAAAATTCGCAAAATTTAATTTGATACTAATTTTTAAATGTCTATGTTGTGCTTAACTCATTGGCTTGCTGCTCAAGAGATGCTCAACTCGATACTTTTTCGCAAAATTATCGGTTCGCTGCGAATGGCATTAGACGAGGTACTTATACCCATTAGACTATAATGAACTTAGTTATTCTTCTACAAATATGATGTGTGCTGGTTATAAGAAATCGGTTATGTGTTTATCTCTATATATAAAACTGTTTGTCCTGACTGATTGGTAATTGTGGAAAAATCTCGAAAGACGAAACTTGTTTTCAAATATCTTTGTGCAAGCTCATTTCAGGGCCGGGTGTCTCCATTACTGCTTGATGGAAATGGGGGTCAAACATTTTTCGGGCTCAAATTCATTTGAGACGTGTTTTACAGTTTCCGCAGTATCAAGACGAAAAACAGTTCTATGCAAGTTAATTGTTTACCATCCGTTCGGCTTCAAAATCCTGTTCAGAGATCTTTGTGAAAATTAATTTGAGACATTTTTCACATTTTTCGCAAAATCCACCCTTTTTGAATGAGAAACGCAAAGGACAAAGTTTTGGATGCAACTTGATTTGCAGAAATCTTTAAGAAAATTCATTTGACGTGTTTTGGAAAATGATTTTTGGTGGCAGCTTTAAATCGTCCAATCGGCCTCAAACTTATATTCAAAGCCCTCGAAAATAATTTAATGAATCACAGCCACAAATACATCCAAAAGTTGTATGAAAGCTTTTTATTCAAATGCGATCTTCTTGCATGATGAATGCGGGTCAATATATGTAATTTTTGTAGCAGAAAACTTACCACAGCCAAGGCCGGGTAGTACCCGCTAGCTATATAATAAACAGATTAGTTAAGGTAAATGAAGCATTTTCAATATTGTTCCTTCGACCTCGGTTCTTGTGTTTATTATTCGTTGGAATTATCGAAAGTCTGTACAATCTATCGATCGAAGTTAACTTGCCTGAAACGTCAATCTACAACTATAATCTCTCCAAAACATATCACCAAACAGAGAAACAAACAAGCAAAAAACTTAAACAATACGCAATATCGTATCAAATATACTATATATTCGTGAATATTATCATTGTCTATGATGAAGCGCATACACGTTGAAAGCTCCGCTCCAAAGTACCAAAGTGGCAAATGGTCCTGGGACAAGAAACATGAATCATTGCACTTTGAGCAATATTTCGAAACGGAGGACACAAATGAACGCTACATTAATACAAATGGATACAAGTTTCTTCGTACGCTCAATCAAGAGGAAGAAATGATCTTTCGACAGGTGTTTGTCCGCCCCGATACCTCTTACGACGCGGACACGGTGGTGATCAACGATGTTCGCGATTTGGTATTCTTTTTAATGCCGAAAGAGTTTTTGCACATTAAGTTTCTTCAGTTTATGCACCATCCTTTAGTTCATAGACTATTGCATGGTTTAATTATCTACTTTGAATATTTTCTGCGTTTGGTAGAATTTGTGCTGATCCGTCGGGATGAGATAGCTGGCGATATGGCCAATTTGCAAAGCGAGCAGACGAACGAAATGAAGCGAATATGGTCTTCCTATTTGAGCCAGTATCGCATTCTAGTGGCTCGAGATTACAGCACAATCATAACGGGTGACGGTGATTTCAAAAAGTTTTACCATACGAAAGAAAACGTCAATATATCTTTTACGATGAAGGACCGATTTTTTCACGAGCAGTTTCTTGCTGTCGCCACTCAGATCGTTTGGATCACGATGCAAAGGAGGGCTTACTACGTAATTGAGATGGAAATGAACCGACTTTTTCGATCTGAACATTTCATATTGAATCGGCAGGAGTATCTGAAGTTCACTCCCGCAGAGCGAGGTTTGCTCTATGGACGCAACAATAAGTTGGTCAACTTTCAGAATCAGACCTCACCATTAATCCAAGAGCTCAAAAATATTGCCGATGAGAATATGCCTATCCTATGGATTGGTGTGCGCAAATATCGTGGCTCGGATCCCCGCATTGCCGAGCTCGAGCTTGAGTATATGGTGCCCGGGCCACAGTTGCGAATGATCGATATAGCACACGGCATTTTGGGTCACCCAAGGCGGTTGTATAACACGCTCCTCTCGTTGGACTGGCCTTCGGTGCGCTATTCCAACTTTACTTCAGATCACGACCCCTATCACATGGTACGCCAGCCGAATCTGCGCATACCCAACATTGATGAGGCGGAGGTGCGCAAAAGGTCGCAGAGCCTGGATATGTTCTACAAGGTTTATCGTATTTACGAGCCAACGAGACGTGAAACGCTCGTGAACTGGTCCAAACGCGAAAAGATAATAAACTATTATCAGAGTGGTGGAGTTTTACAAAATGTACATACGCGTTGTGAGAAACAATTGGTAATCGATGACAAACGGCCCGACATTAAGCAGGTTGTTAGCAACTTCTTGGATGTCATGCAAAAGCTTCGAAAGCCAAAAAACTGAGTTTCGCAAAATATGTGAGATTGGATCAAGAAAATCCCTCTGTGTACAGAGATGATCTTATGCCAAAACGCGTTCACATTACTTTAAATGCTTTTGCACCTTAAATTTGAATTCACTTGAAATATATATTTTTCTGATTTTATTCAACCGTAATTTTACTTTAATCCAGTCACGTGTGCTCGACTGGGGCATACCCTTAACCTTCTGCACGCAATGCTTAACAATTTTTTTACTTATTACTTCCCCCATTTCATGCATATTAAAAAAAAACCAATACAAACAAGCTTCTTCCCCGGCGATATGGAACTTCTAGCCACATGTTTTGTGTAATTACTTCTGTGTTTAACCGATATTGTTGAAATTTTCTGCAGTAGATTTTATTGTGTTATAGAATAATCGCATATTCGGAAGGGAGACAGCATTAAAATTGTGACAGGTAGTTCCAATTGTTGAATTTATTTGAGGGAAAGTGCAGAGAAGTTGTGAGGAATAATACGATAACTATTAAACAAATATGTGTATATATCTCCAAACTTTATCAATTGAGAATCTAAGAGTTCAATCTATTCCAACTCGTCACTTGAAAATTCCTTGAATCTTTTATAGGACTTCCCCCATTTCATGCATATTCAATTCAAAAGATTATTTTTAAGCATGTGCACACAAAGTTATATGCAAATTTGTAGGTCAAATACACATAGTTTTTGCCTGCCGAATTAGTTTTAGCTTTTTGTTACATCAGCTTAAAGGCAACTCCAGTCAAAGCAACTATTTACTAAGGGCAAGCTGAAGCGGAAGAAGAGATTGCTAAATGAGAACAGCACACAATTGCTTAGCATATTGGGGATTTGTTTTGCGTAGATATAATCATACGAATTAGCACCATCCAAATCTGGATCCCACCCAAAGTTTGCCCCAGTTGAGTCAATGGACAACAGAGCGTTGCGAAATGTTTACAATACCTAGTATATTTGACTATTAATAGCCAGAATAATCTGGATTTTCATGGTACAGTCCTCTTGAATTGAACACTAACAAGATCTTCGTGACTGGACAGAGGTATTAACAGGCCCGAATTGATTGTTTGTTATTTATTTGGGCTGCGGGCTTTCCTGCCCAACTCCGGCGGCGTTTACGTGCAATCTTTTGCTTTTTGCGTTATCAAAGTCGAAACTCAGGCCACATACGTCATTCATAAATACGTCTGAGTGTGCGATACATATTAATGAAACAAATGCGCAAAATGAAAATAAAGAAAGAATCGTGAAAACAAAAACAAAGCTCTCAGAAACACGAAGCAACGTCCGAGCAATCGTTGAATCCCATTACAAATACAAATAAAAGCTTCCCGCATCGATGGCAAAGATCACGATCGCAGATCAACGCAATATATATGGGTTATCGGCACTCTGATGAAATAGGTTATCGTTGCCGGCAATCGTTCGAATAACGAGCAACAAATTTTATTTTTAACGCTCTAAATTCAAGTATTATTGACTTGACGAAAGATCATGAGCATGAACACATCTTATATATGTATATATATGTATATATATACATGCAAATGCGGCTAACTTACAAGCTGATTAAACGAATTCACTAAACACAGCTAAAAATATTTAAAAAAAAAAATTGTTTAGATCAAATAAAACGAGAGTAGTGTAATCGGAAATGACTGACTAGGAAGTAGCCTTAAGGCAATCATAACTTAGTGACTATCTAAAAGTTCTTCTCACTACCTGAATTTTAGATCAAAAATTGAAGTCCCAATTTCGTTCTTATATTAAGCATTTTCTTAATTTTATATCTATGCCTCCTTGGCAGATATGGATTTGATTGAAGTTCCAGGCTCAAACTTTAATTTTCCAGGATCTTCATGAAAATGCCTTAAGAATGTATTCAAAAAACCTGCCCGATCGGAAATGTTCGCATGCTCAAATATTAACTAATTGATTGAGGTTAACCTGTGAATTAATTTAATTAAAAATAGAGTATATTATGGACAAGCAGCCAGAAGAGCAGAACACATAATGCTGCAACAGCTAATTACATTGCTTTATTTATTTATTTTGAATTTTCCAACAATTTCAAAGCTGTAAATGTACAACTTTCGCCCAGCTACATAAAGTTAATGCAAACATCAGCAACAAAAACAACAACACTAAAAAAACAACAAATTTGCGCAATCCTCGCTTGGCCCCAACGTCATCGATGTGCAGCAAGCTTGCCCATGTTTCAATTATAATTTTATTTTTCTTTTTCTTTTATCGACTTTTTAGAATTCTATGCAGTGCCAAGTTTTGGCGGGCAGCATTGGAATGGGTTGGAGCCACCTTTGGCTAGTAAAAGAAGTATGCCACATTACTATGCAGGCGCCTCAAACAGGGTATGCACGACTGAGCTAACTTTCACTGTTGAAAACTTTAAATATAATTATAATTGACTTTAAAAGATAAATGTTTTTCGGATTTATAGGGCGTGAAATAATACACAGAATATATAAGTAAGAATCGAATTGTAAACAATTTACTTTGCTAAAACATGTCTATTATGTTTTCCCCTGACTGTTCAGATAAGTAAACCTAATACTTGACAATTTAAATGTTGTACGTATATTAACCTTGTTAAATTTGTCAGTTTTAGTACAGTTGAAGTACTGCAGTCTTTATTTATTGAATATACCCACGACTATCAGTTACTATATTCATGGAGAACATATGTTGGAGTTCGCCGAGCCTGGCCTTAAGAGTTGGTCAATGTACTCGCTGTAAAATAAGCTAATTTTCTGTTACAATTTCATTTAAGTAGATTTATTGAACTATTTTAAAATCTTCTATATGTTCGAGGGTATTTCATCATCGACACAGCAAAGTAAACTACCCGGTTTTTTGCTCAGCAACCTTTTAAGAGGTTGTTGTTGTTGTTGTTGTTGCTGTTGTTGCTGTTGTTGTTGAAGGGAGCCGCGCTTCGGCAAGCACTTGAAGAGTGCTCGTTGTTGTTATTGTGCCGTGTCCTGCTGCTGCTGCTGCAGTTGTTTTAAAAACTTTTGCTGCACTCAAACATTTTTATGGCTCTCGTGTCCTTGTTGCATACAACGTGCCTGCCTCCGGCTGGGGCATGGCATACACACACACTCGCACACACCCAGAAACAAAGTTAAAACAAGTGAAATAGAAAACACGGCTTTAAGCGTCGAACGTAAACTTTAAGAAACGCGCCCGAAACAATCGCAAGTTCTCATTGCTTATCGCAGTTGTTCTTGACATTGTTTTTGTTATTTTCTCGAGTTTTCTAGTTCTTTGGAAAGGAGCACACAGCGGATGTTCCATAGCAGAGCAGCTAGAACAAAAACAAAGTTACTGAAACTTGCGCAAAAAGTTGTTGCTGTTGAAAACTTTTAACGCTTTTGGGAATTTGTTTCTCATCTTTACTCTTTCTTTTTTTTCCCCCCCCTTCCTTTTTTCGCACTGAACTGAGGTGCTTAAACTTTGCAATCTTCATTGTTCGTTTTTGTGCCAGTTCTTAGTGACTTTCTGCTAAAATGGGAAACTAAACGCAATAGCAAATAAAACTTTGTTTTTAAGAAAAATGTATTAAAAACAAGAACAAGTAAGAGTGTACAAATTGGCACTGACCGACCAAATACACTAAATGGAGTCAAGTCCCATCTTTCATACATATATTTATGGATTTTAGAAGTGTATATATATCAAACACTAAGAAAATCTTATCGATTTCAGGAACAAGCAGACGAACCTAGACCTGGGCTAGATCGACTTGGCCATAAATATACATATATATTGTTATGCAGTTGGACATGCCCTATTGATGCAATAGAATTTGGGCAACACCTTTTCAAATGCAACGATTACAGGGTAGCCTACAGTATTTAAAGTAATTTCATTTGGCAATTTGTTGTTGCGTTCGCCGTTTGAATAGCAGAATTGAATTTCAAAATTTGCATTGGCCAACACGAATAACACAAACTGCATATAAATCCTGGCCAACACAGCGTCGGCGGCGGCAACAAAACAACTGCAGGGGGGCAGGGACGAGAGGGGGGTTGGCATAAAATGGAATTTATTAAATAGCATTCCACGCAATAAACTCGGACAAAATAAAAAGGCTGGCAAAAATAACAGCAGCTACCCAAAACAAGAAAACCAAGAAGCGAGCAACGCAATAAGGGCGACGGGCAGCAGGAATATAAGAGTAAAAAAAGAAAGAAGAAAAAAAAACAAAATTCGTGCCTGCAATTTTATGGCAGGACGTTCGATGTCGGCTATGGACACGCATCCCGTCGCCAAAATCCCAACAATTTCCTCGAAACCCTTTGGACTACACTTTTTATACAAAAATAAAATGTTTGCGACTTTGAAAAACAAAGGCGAAATAAAAGATGAAAGATGTAAGAAAGGCAACGAATATGAAATACCCTTGGGTATCTATTGCCAAAGGCTAATATATCGAATACACGATCTATAGAATCTATATCTATGTTCGGAGATTATCAAGTTTACGTTACGAACTGCGTCAACCAATTATTAATAGCCTTTGTTAGGGTATTAAAAAAACAAAACGAGCAGAGCGCATCGCATTTTTTCCATTAACGACTGTCGCAACTGGACCCCTACGTCCCCATCATCGGTGCAACAATCTCTTGGACAGCTGGACAGCTCAGGCTGCCGAGCGCCAGGCTCCCAACGTTCGCCACGTTCCCAGCCAGGGTGAATTAATAACCGTTGTTGCTTTTAAAGTTCACCCGAAGCGACCGCAGCGGAACGGAAGGGACAGGAGGCGACGGGTGAGAGGAGGGGAACGGCACACGAGACGAGGCCCAGATGAATTGACATTTAATTATTGTGTAAATCATAATTTTGTTTTTTTTGTTCTTTCCATGTCGATTCCTGTTTTTTAAAACGCGCTCCGCACCGGGGACCAACCGCATTAAATACCCGTTTAAACGGCTTCGCATTCATTTCATTTCGTTTCATCACTTTAATGAAACGACGAGGATTTAACCCGCAGAAATCTTGTGGAATACTTTATGGCTGAAAGTTAAATTAAGTGCAGTTTCCGGATTTGTAGACTGCAAAGAAGGTACTCAGAAGCTAAATAGGTTTTAGTCGTTACCCCAAAGCAAATAAAGATTATTTTTAACAGACTCTAATCCCTCGACTAATGAGGTTATAAGTGAAGTAATACTTGGTTCATGTTTTGTAACTCTATAACCCAAGCTGTAAGACTCAATTCATTTAAGCAGTTCACATATTGATAAATTGATTTGAAGATTATGAGCTGCAAATGTTCCGTTCCTATATCTAATTGTTAAGATCCTTTAAGAGAACTATTATAGAAAATGTGTTAAAAATACTAAGGTTTTAATTGAAAGGAAAAAATAAACATTTGTGTAGTTTTTACCATTGCAGAAAATATACTTAAATGACTTATTTTTCACAGTTTACCTGGAAACAAAATATAAAAAAACACCCGCAAAATGGAATTCATTTATGCATTTGAAAAAATATGTAATACAAAAAACCGTTAGAATATACAGTACTCAAAAGGAGGGAAACTGAAGTTGTTCCCAAAAAAACTTCGTTTTCCAGCACTGTAAATACAAATATATAATTTGAACGGGTAATCAAAGTATACAAATAAAAAGCACAGGAAAAGAAAAAGAAGAGAAAATGCAAACCGAAAAAAACGGAACAAAATATATATAAAATTATTATTTTACTTGACTTCCTTCCGATACATAAATATTAGGACACCAGTCACTAATTTCGGAAACAGAACTAAAATTTTCAAAAATATCTAAACTTAATTTCTCTTCAAGCTATAATTCACGAGCAAGCTCTATTAAACAGTCTGAACTGTTTAACAAGCTCATCGAATGGAAATATGGGGCATTAAGGAAATCATTTTGCACAGTTTTCCGTGACTTTGGAATGCAAAGTGACATTGGAGCAGAACTAATGCGGCACAATGTGCACTGCAAGAGCCGAAGAACTGTGGAACTAAACTGAACGTCATGTCGAATTGATTTAAATTAATTGAATTTACAATTTGCTGACGCTTCGAGCTGATGCACTGCGAAGCGACGATTGATTAAGTCGAAAATTTCAAAAGTAAATCGATTTGATTCTCAATACTTTGTTGTTCATAAATGTGTAGTTCTTTGAACTGTTCATGTACCTCTGTGCGGTTGAATAATCCGGATCCAGATCCAATTAAATGCTGCTACACACGTACACGCACGCACACACACATGCATGCATTTGTGCATGTGTGCTGTAAGCTCAAAAATCCAAGTCACGCGTCTTGGTGGCAGTGAAGAGAGAAGAGCGCGCGCAAGAAAAACAAAAACAAAAACGACACGAAACGCATTTGGGAAGATGCGCGCGACGCGATTAAAAGCGGGGCCCGCTCGGGCGAGGGGCAGGCGGGTGGCTCAAGCAGGGCCAGAGACGGCGCCGCCAACACTGGCACCGACAAGTGACGTCAAAGAGCGGCTTAAATTCACTTAAACACATTAGGAGAGAGGCACTTTTGGCTTTAGCTATATTTTTCTTTGAGCCGTTTTGTTTAGCTTTATTGCTTTCCTCGTTAAATTTCAGCCTTTTTAAAAAGCTTAAGAGCACAAATGGTTGATCGACTTAATGCGCGACTACCTGCTTGTTAATTTTCTCAGCTGTTTCGTGTGTTTTTCTTGTTGCCAGAGCAAATAGAGCGAATTGTTATTGTTGTTAATATTATTGTTGTAACTATGTTGTTTTTGTTGCTGTTATTGTCGTCATTCTGTCGACTTTCGTTTTATTTCGCTTTGCAATTGTACAATTTAAACATTTTTAGATATTTATTGTAAACATCCAATAAATTGAGAGCAACGCGTCGCTTCATGGTCACTGCGGTGGTCTCTGCTCACACACACACACACACGCATATATATATATATGTACAGACACACACACGTACGATCACGATCAAAGCGATGGCGGAGCCCCCAGCCCCACGTCGGCAAGACGGGCAACGGGCAACGGGTGACGGTGTCAGGGGCCACCGCCACCAGCTGGTTGCAATTATAGCGAAGAACTGCAAGCGCGTGCAAAATTCGTACAAACTTCAATTTTTATTTGGTCAGCACGGAGAACGATGGCGGCGCCAACCTGCACTGAAATCGAGTGGCTCCCAACAGCAGGCAGCAGACAGCAGCGCTTATTCAATTGTTTGCATTAGCCTTGCACTCACGTTGGCCACTATCGCGACCACTGGCCGTCGCTTGTTGCTGCTGCTGTGCGAAATTGTTGCCAGAGCACACGCGTGTTTTGCAGTCAGCGTTAACTCGGTATACGTAATATTTTTAGAATTTCTTCTAAACGGGGGCTATAAAATTATTATTACACTGTTTCGGCACAGACGAGCGATATTTACATTTAGATTTACACGCCGAACTAGAGCTCTCAACTTACCGATGACACTATCGATACAGAAGTGTCGATAGCTTTTCGACTAACATCGAATGCGAACACAACTATCGCGATATCTGTAACTAACCAATTTCAACCCTGCATAAGGTTGACAGTTTAAAAGCTAGTAAAAAAAAAATATATATATATATATATAAAATATATTATAATATACCAATTAGAAACTGTTAAAATTTTAAGCACATGTAAGCCATGTTAAATTGCTTTTTCTTAATTTATTGAAATCAATTAGCTATGGTATCAATATCCTATCGATAGGAGAAATATCACAATATCATACTTTTCGATAATTTCCGCTCACAGAAACACCCTTAATAAATTCAAAGTATCGATATATTGATGCAGTAGTATGCATAATATCACTCAGCTGCGCGGTAAATTTGAAGTGCATTTTTAAATAAAGCTCAGCAGTTTAATGGAATAACTTTCCCTTAAAATCAATCTCCCGTAATGCTAAATGAAATTTTATGTTTTTTCTTAGCATTTATCATATTTCGGTTATTTTGAATAACCGACACAAACTATGCTGTGGGCACCCTAATCTATAACATTTACTCAAATGCTTTTAATGTGCATACAACTTTCAGGAAAAAAAATACCTTTACTAACATTGTAATTAACATAATGAATAACATAATTGAAATTTTGTTCTTAACTTTTATTATAATTATTATTAATACGATTATTTATTGCTAGACAATTACACAATAAATATTATTTCCTACCAACACATCGAATCAGACCAAACAGCTGCTCGCTGGAATAAATCAAGATTTTATTTGGCTCTGATTGTCATGTTATTTAAAATGTTAAAACAAGCGCTTGCTGTGGGCGATATATTTTCGATATATCCGTTAATCGGATGGTATCGAAAATAACCAGTGTGTACACCCTTTCATCTCTATATCGAGATGTGGAGGCTAAACGATAGACGTAGACTTTGATAAATTGCGCGCCAACTTAATAGACTATTCAAAATAAGAGCAGCCAATGTAACTTAAAAGTTTACTTATTGCAGTACGTTATACGTCAAAAAATCAAACAAAAGCAAAATTTGTTCAACAACTTGCTGCGAAATGAGAACAAAACGTTTGATTTTAACATTGTTATTGAGTGGTAAGTTTTTTTATAATTGTGATTTTACGAATTTTGTACACCTCTTTAAAAAATGTACGACAGCTTTGCTCCTACATGTAAAGGCAGTCGAAAAGGGCGTAACTGGAGACCATTTTGATATCAGTCGTATTCTTAAAGTTCTCAAGATTCCAAATGAGTACCAGATAAATGATATCACGAGAAAAACAAATGAAGACAAGACTTTCAGTTCAGTTTTACGCAAATTCAAGTCAAAAAATCGCACAAGCTCCCACTATTTTCTGAAGTTCCGCACGCATCGTGTCCATTTTACTCCAAGCAAATTTCTGAAGCGTTTTAATCGAAAAAAGCAATTCTTTCAAACACATTATCGGGTTAAATTTGATACTTTGCACATTAAGCCCCATTTAGCTGTGCTCTCTAAGGTCTCCCACATTCCAAGTCCGTTTGCGAAAAACAACTATATTGTCCTACAGGGAAAACTCCATCAGATGCTGCATGGCAAACACTTTTCGCCAAAACTGAGCGTTGTCAAGCTGATGTACGCCATAGTCGATCGATTCTGTGAGTCAACATCCACAAAGCTCCATCGATTCTGACTTAATGTGATATTTACACAGGGACTCCTCCCGCTCCAAGCTGTTGCCCCCATTGCTGTGGAAAGTCTCGCCATTAGCTTCTAGTTGGAATCAAAGTCACAATGAGGGATTGGTAATTATGAGTTGGAGACGAGCGCATGAGGGACAGTAGTTTGGTGAGACTCTGGATCTTGTATATTTTATTTACGATATTCAAAACATAACAAAACAGTAGAGAAAATCCAACAGAAAATTGGAAAAGAAGCAAAAATAATTGAGAATTAATTCGTTGAAATGTTTGTCATATCCTTTTCTAATTAGAAACTGTTTCGACTACATTTGCAAAGCTTTTCCATATGGAACTCAGAATCATCAATATTTTATTTACGATATTCAAAACATAACAAAACAGTAGAGAAAATCCAACAGAAAATCGCAAAAGAATAGAAATAAATTAAAAAAATATATTTCCAAAAAACTTGTACTATCCCTTTCTAATTGGAAACTGTTTCGACTACATTTGCAAAACTTTTCCGTTTGGAATATTTATCTTTAGTGAGACTCAGGATCATATATAGTTTATTTACGATATTCAAGCAAAACAGCAGAGAAAATCCAACAGCAGAAAATCGCAAGGAAATCAAAATAAATAAAAAAAATATATATCCAAAAAACTAGTCATATCCTTTTCTAATTAGAAACCGTTTTGACTACATTTGCAAAACTTTTTCTTTTGGAATATTTATTTTTAATACATGAATCCCTTTCAGATCTTCTGTAAGTCAACCAGTTGAAACCCAAGCTAGTCTATTATGCTCTTGGCCAAATCCAATAGTCGAAATTTGTTAACTTTATTCTTTACCGATTTAACTGAAAATCTATTCCAATTAGTCCAATTAGTCCCTCTATATTATTATTGTCCCCTCAACTTTTGTCAGAATTAGTTGCGTATCTCTAAAAAGTAAGTTCGGCTAAAATAACAATTGAAGATGCGTTGATAAGAACCGAAAAGAAACCAAATCAAATCAAGTCAGATAAAGTAAAAGTAAATAAATACGTTGATTGTATATGGTATATAACATGTTAACATTTATTATTGACTACGTTTAATATCTGCAGCAGAGAAACGCATTTTGCAGTTAGCAGGTACTTAGTACTACTTGTTGTTGTTATTGTACGCTTGTCTATCAACTATAAACGACTATATATACACACATTGTTCAGATATATAGATATATATATATATATATGAGAATTGGGGCTGGGCAAAGTTAGTGTTAAAGTGTTAATAAATACTAAGAGTTTTAGGCATTTGCATTATATATATATAATAATAAATACATCTCGAGCTGCGCATCGTATATATATAGAGATATATATAGATATATATGTATATGTATATGTATGTTTAGTTCTAGAGTAAAATGTTGTAAGTAACCGACTTGGGTAGCCGCTGTTCCTTGTTAACTTCTTAACTTGTTAACTTGTATTTGCTTTTTCTATATTTTGTTTTTCTCTTGACTGAACAGGGCCCTGTTGTACATTCGCATTAGTTTTACAGCTATAATTATATATATATATATATATATAGATGTATATGTGTAGGGCATTACGAGCTAAGGAGGCTAAGTAGTTAAGTCTTAGATAGGGTTAAATAGCACTTTATCGTCGCATGGTTCATATCCATAAAATACTTGAGTAAAGATACAGAGAGTATACAGGCTAAGGTGTGTGTTTTTAGGTTAAACATCATTTTTGGTTTGTTCCCTTCGAAATTGTATATATATATATATAAGTGTATACATATATATATATATGGTCATAGATTCAACACGAGATCAGGATCACGACTGCAAGGTGATCAGACAATCGGCACGCAGACCCATTCCATCAGCCGGAACAGCAGCGAGCACAGCCAATTCTAGGCAGCCGTTGTCACCTTTGGCGCTCCGCCAGGCGGCGCAGCGGCTGCCTCTGGCGAGGATGGGGCCGGGGCTGAGGCCGGGTCTGAGCTGTCCGGCTGCTGCTCGGACTGCTGCTCCAGCTGTTGCTGGTCCGAGGGGGGGCCAACGATGCTGCTGCAGCTGCTGCTCGCCAGGGTCTGGCTGGTGCGCAGTTCGGGTGGCAGATAGATTTTGACTACGCTGGTTATCTTCACGCGGCAGTTGGGGCAGTTGTTGCACCTGTAGCGAAAAGCACATGCCAATTAACAATAGTTCATTGATGAATTAAGAATCAATGAGCACTCACCTAGCCGCACACTGCGCACAGGCAATGACGTGACAGCAGGGATTGAACACCGTGTTGATCGCACGATCCATGCAGATCTTGCACTGCATGGCCTCGTGGATGCGATTGTCCACGCAGCGCTCAATCGCCGCCTCACGCGCCTCCTTCTCGCGTATGGCCAAATCTATCTTGCCGGCCATGGAACCGGCACCAACACAGCCGCCTCCGCCTCCATCGACATCCAGGACGGGCTCACAGCTGCTGCCGTCATCGATGGCCGCCATGGCGGCCACATCGAAGCCGCGCTCGTGCAGCTTGCGCCGCGCCTGATCGTGCACCTCGCGGCACGTGTGCTGTATATCGAATACGTAGCGCTTGCCCAGCTCCGTGTCCTCCTTGAACATGGACGCAATGGTGCCCTTCAGATCGCGCGTGAACTGATTCGTCACCACGCAGCGCACCTTGTCGCACACGTAGAACGCGTGCCGCTCCGTTATCGAACGATAGAGGCCGGCGGCAATCGGCTGCTTGGGCAGCTTGATCTCCAGCTCCTTCCGATCGTTGTGATCGTCCACATACTCCAGCTTAAACGTACGCCTCAACGACTTGGCAGCGGCAATGGCACTGAACGGGATGCTGCAAACGACAAATCACAGCAATTTCAATAAAGATTTAATCGTAGTTGAGTTCAACAAGCTTTAAGCTTTTCAAGCTTTAAGAATGTGCTTGCAAAGCTCAGAACTATTTGTGAAAGATCAGTTGAGCTTTTCTAGTTGTACCTTGAAGCTTTAATACACTTGCAAAGCTTTTAACTGAAACTTAAGCTTAATAAGTTTGAAAAGAATTTTGCGATTAAGCTTTTCTACGCTTTAAATGCACGTTAAGCTTTAATATGCTTACAAAGCTCTGCATAGGATAAAAGCTGACTTTGACTTGTTTTAAGCTAGGGTAACTCACCTTTCTTTTTCGTCCCCGCGAATAACGGTGATGCCATGGGCGCCCACTGCAATGTCGCAGCGGGTGGCGCTCTCGTTGGTTGTGACGCCGCTGAAGAGCTCCTCGCCGTAGCCGCTGAGCTCCTGGATCTCGCGCAGAAGCCAGTACTTGGCCGACTTGGGCGGCATCGGCAGCTTGGCCAGCTTGCTGTGCTCGATGGCAATCTGACGCAGAAAGTCGGCCGGGGGCTCGCTGTCGCAGGCATTGGGTAGGATGACATATTCCTCGTACATGCGCAGCGGATTGCTGGCCAGGCGCTCGTCCAGGCCCGAGTGGCTGCTGCTGCTGTTGCTGGGGCTGCTCGAGCTGGAGGCGGATGCGGAAACTGAAGCCGAGGGCGATGGCTGCAAGTTGTTGTGGCTGGAAAGGGTCGTCGTCGTCGTCGTCGTCGTCGCCGATGATGATGGCGCGGCGAGGGCACAGCACTCGATGTGCTCCACGGACTTCTGCTTGGACAGGCGACGCTTCTTGAAGCTGAGCACATGCTCCTTCTCCTTCCGCTGCTGCTCCAGCTTGTGCTGCTGCTGCTGCGCCAGCTGCTGCTGGGCCAGCTCGCGACGCATTCGCATCGGGCACTCGGCGCGCAGCGCCTGCTCATTGAAGCGCAGCCCATCCGCCTGGCAGAGCAGCGCCGCCAGCTTGGCCGCATTGCTCCAGTCGTGGGCGCACAGCCGCGCCTCCAGCAGATCCCGGCGTGCCTGCATATAGAACAGATTGCGCACGCTCTCCTGCAGAATGCTGTGCACCGGCACCCAGAACTTGACGCGCATCGCCAGCATCAGCTGGACTCCGCTGCCGCTGCTGCCGCTGTCGCCATGCAGGCGATTCCTCAGGTTGTACCATTGTCGGGTGCGGGACTCCTTCTGGTTGGGCGTCCACGGCTCCAGGCCGAAGTACTCCATTTCGCAGATGATGCCCAGTCCCTTGCATACCTGCAAAGCAAACAGTTGCTTACATTTAGTTGAGGTTCTAAAACAAGTATAAATATTTATAATTCCCAACGTGTTTTAGTGCTGGCAAAGTTAAATGGAAACTTGATAGTATCTTGTCGATAATCGATTCTTCAAAGAGACTAACTCCTCTAATTAATCTAATGGAGAAATCTCTAATCTCTTGACTGTTTTGAAGCTGAATGCCTTGAAAGGAAAACAAACTAAACGCTTCTGAAGCTTATCAGCTGAGCTTGTCAGCTGCGACCAGTCGACAATGTCCTGTCAGTTGTCCTGTCTGTGGGCTTGTCAAATCCAACATCGTTGCTATGACAGCACCCAACGACAACTGCGTCTGGCAGGATGTATGTGTGGGCGTGGTTGGGCAGGGGTGTGGAATAATGGAGGATAAGGCCTCAGAATATTTGCTTATGCAACGAGTGTGTCATCATTGCGAATGGAACGAATTCAAATGTTTGCTGCACGTCAACAACAACAACAACAACAACAGCTCCAAGGATTCTGCTTTGCAGTCGCCTGGAACTAGAACTGACTAAAGAATATCCTGTTCAGTCAAGGAGTTAACTCAAAGGAAGTATGGCAATATGCTTAAGGAATTTGTTCTTAATCAAAAGACTTTAAATTTGTTTTTTCAATAAAATAGTTTACTTATGAACCTTTGCAGACCCTTCAGCTGGTCTACCCCATGGACAGAGCCAACTAATGGGTATAAACCCAATCGACTACGAAAACGACAACATAACCAACTGCAAATCAGCAAAGTCCACCCGTTGACGATGCTGTACGTTTGAATTAACTGGCAGCCATCCAGCGTGGCATGCCACGCATCCCCCCCTCACCCTACCCCACTCTCCCCTCTTCCCTCAACCCATTCTGCAGCCTTGCTCGCACCAGTTGCACGCGGAGGCGGGTCGGGTTGGCTTGGGTCAGCGATGGCAAAAAAAGAAGCGAGGCAAAATAAATTGAAATTTGCACAGCTCACACAAATTCCAACAACAATTTCTCAGCTGTGTCAACACGCGCAGAGCCGCACCCCCTCCCTACCCTTCACCCCTGCTGTCCAAAGGTTGTCGCAGATACGCCCAACCAGCCCACCCTCCCCTGTCGCAGCAGCACTTTGCATAATGAGGCAACTTCTGAGCCAAGAGGCATGCCGCCAGGTAGGCAGCAAGGCAACAAGTTGCTCCCAAGGAGTCACGCGTCAGCGCCTCGCACATTTTCACTTTCCAATTAGACAGCCGCAGAATTTCAGATGAACCTTGTGTGTGTGTGTGTGGGCGTGGCTGGAATTAGCCCTGGCAAAAAGTACACTACTATGTCAGTCCAATACGATTCAAATTGGATATTCGTATTTAATTTACATCTCTATTAAACCAATTGGAACTAATACAGGGTATCTCACAGCGAGTCATAAGAGCAAAAGACTTATTTTGTGATTTATTTTCAATGGGATTTTGTGACAGGCGTTAATTAGAAGGAAGGAAGGAAATTCCTTCATGCCATAAAACCAATTATCAAGAATGAATTACTAAGGAGATAAAACGAAAGTTGCTTTAATTATTATTATTATGTAATAAATATTTATCGATGCCTAACTATGGTATTAATGTGCTAATTTATTTAGCAGGACAGGTGTTTATCGGAAAATGCTAACGCAATTACGTTTATTTTCCCCAATTATATGACAGTTATCTAACTAATTGGTTAAGTTTCTGATAAATATTTAATTATTTTGATGCCAATAAACAGGATTTACAGTTGCTGCGAATTGCAGACATTTCACATTTCGATTGTTCGAAATCTTTGATTGACGCAGGTTCTCGAGAGGCTTCATTAGATAGATGCAAGGCTGCTCAAGTGGCCCCCCTCCCCCTCCCCCACTCACGCGTCATCAACAACAAGCTGTGATAACCCTGGCAGACACTTCCACTTCCGCCGCAAGCTGAGCGTCGAATGAGGGGGAGTTGGGGGGTGGGGAGGCATGACAATGGCGAAGGGGGGATGACTGAGAGATTGTGCTTGGGACTTGAGCTACAAGTGGCATGGCGCTGCATGTAAATCGATCTGCCAACTGGATTATGCGTAATTAATTGCGTTTTGCATGCGAGACAACCCATCCCCTAGCCCTACCCCACCAACCCCCTCTCAGTCAACGCAAGGCAACTCGCAACTGTCAACGGCATTTGGCAGCTTAATTGGTCGATTGTTTGTGTCGCATTCACGAGTGCATTCACGAGTGCATTCACAAGTCGTTAGCTCGATGACTGAACGCTCGATTGCGAATTCGACACAGATGAAAACTGTAATTAAGTTAATAGATCCGAGAAGACGGCCAATAATTACAAATCCATACTCAGCAGCTGATTACAAAAGATTACATTCCAATTAGAAACTAAACGAATCATAGATATATTCGCAAATGAAAAGTCAGAAACCAATTGCACATTCCAATTAGCCAAAATACCAATCAGCTTATGTTAATATTCAGCTAAAGCACATTTGCTCAAAGTTGAATCCATTTGCTCCTTTTTAAACGAATAAAAAACCTGTTTCTAGTCTGGGAATCAAATAAATTGTCCAAATTGTTCAGTTTGTTTCGGCTCTTGTCTTTAGGAATGTTGCCTATGTCATTTATTTTTAGATTCTGAATACAAATTTGATAAAATTAAGAAAAACATAATATACTTTGGGTAACATGTAGAACATATTTAAATACTTGTATAATTATTAAGCATTTCGCATTGTTGTTATTTTTTTTTTTTTGAGCGCGAAACGTGGCAAATAGCTGTAAGGTAACGGCAACAACAACAACAACAATTGCTAAATCCATTCAGCACAAAAACGTTGCCATCGACTGCGACGGCGACTGCGACGGCGACTGCGACTGCGACGTCGCTAGCGAAGGTGCAAAGTCCACATTTTATATATACATATATATTTTGTTCGTTTCGTTTCGCTAAAATTAAATAAAATGCGAATCGCATCAAAGCAAATGCGAAACGTGAACTTATTTTTTTTCTCAACAAAAGCCGGCGACAGCTGTGTGTGTGTGTGTGTGTATGTGTGACTTTAACTGCGAGTATGGAGGAGGGGGCATTTCAAAGGCGTACAATTGGGCGCGGATAACAAAAGCTGCATAATTTGTATACAATTTGTAGCAAGATTGTATAATGCCACGCCCGCTGTGTGGGCGTATGACGTCAGCAGCAGCAGCAGCAGCTGCAGTGATTCCTATCCAATTCGAAAATTGAACAGTGCCCCGAAGGTGACACAAATTGAAATGAAAATATTGCCCCACGGGGCCGTCACAGTCACAATTTGGCATTTATTGCATTTCGTAATATGTACATGTGCCTTTACATTCGCATACATGTATGTATGTAGGCACATATAAATGCCATGAAATGTTTGTGGTTGTTGTTGCTGGCGCTGTGTAATTTTATTTAGTCCGTAAAATAAACAAAAACACCAGCAACAGTTTCTGCTAAGGCAACGTTATTAACTTTTTAACATGCAATCAACAGACGCGGACGCATGTTATAAGAGTTTCAAGAGCCCCAATCTTAAGAGAGCTGCAGTCAAGAGAGTTACAACTGTTCACAAAGGTAAACAAAACGGAGCATGCAAAGAAAAAAACACAAGTGCTGCTGTGGGGAGCGAGTAAGAGAGTGTTGCTCTCTGCAGCAACAGCAAACAACACAAACAAAATTGTAAACGAGTGCGAACGAGAGATGGAGGTGGGGGCTATGACTCGCACAACATGCTGGCCGGATGAGCAGAAAACCCGACCATTGCATTCGAATTGGACTTTGGACTCGGGCCTCTGAAATGCCGTTTGGACTTTGGACTCGCACTCGTACAGTGAGTGTTAATGTTGTTTTTGTTGCTTTTGGTGATCGGTAGCGATGCTTTTGCTTGTTATGTTTGTGTTTTGTGAGTTCTGCTGTCTTTGCCGTTTGTTATGGTTGTTGATAAATCGCCATAATTGAAAATATTTTAAGCGGTACAAACAAATCAGAGACTGAGAAACAAGCAAGTGCCATATGATGCTTGAAAACAGTAACTGACACGATGCTCTGCCAGCGCAAATGACGTCAGCTGAAGCAGTGCTCGCCGGTTATGGACTTTGCACTCTAAATTACTGTTCGTCTCCGTCTGTATTAACGTGCGTACACACATGTAAAGAAATATCCATGTATATATGTATGCACACATTCAAGTGAAAAGCCACACTGCAATTGAAACAAATTTCAAATGCTCGTTTTCCTTATCACCAAGCAACAAAATAGTTGATATATGTGCTTAAAATGCATTTTGATGGACACACATGCCGTAAGCGTCGGCATTTCGAAACGATTGCAGCTGAGCAGAAAAGAATGTTAGCAGTAAGAGAGCGTAGGTGAAAAATTAGGCGGGGACATGTCTACATATGTATTTTTGTAAACGTGTATGCACATAACTGTAAAGACCTCCAAGTAAGCATATATGTATGTATGTATGTGCATTTCTATGTACAAGCTAACTGTATACATGCTCATCTTTAGTCGGACCTGATGCTGCTCACGTCGCCGTCGCCGTCGCCGTCGCCTAATCGTGCTTGACACGTTGGCGGTTCAACAATGTTCAACTCTCTCAGCGCCTTATAAAATGAAAATAAAATAAATAAAAACACAGCCAAAAGGCAAAACGAGCGGCAGACACAGCCGCTGAAAAGACCCCCATAGATGGTTAGAATTGCTGTTGTTGTTGTTGTTGCTGTTGTTGTTGCTAACTGAGCACGCGCTCGTCGAGTGATCACCAAAGATGACGATGATTACGCTGCGAAGGGGTGGGAGAGCGCAGCGTGCGCTAATAGAAAAGGGGAAGCCGCTTGACAGCGACTGCAACTTGGCATTGAAGGCGAAGGCCAAAGAGAGGGCGGCGAGCGTGGCTGGCAAACAGGTTCAATGCATTCAGTTTGATTAGCGGCAGGGAACGGGTTC